CTTTGTTCTCCTTATTATTTTTGTGTGCTTGGGAAACAAAAAATAATTTTGAGTTTTATGTTTTGGAGATGTTATCATTTTTATTTGGATGACATCATTTTGATGAGCATGAGTATGTTTAATGTTTAACATTGGTGCAGTTACATGAAATTTCTTTCGATATATTTGATAAATACAAAAAAGTGCTCCATAGTTCATCGTATATAAATTTCTTTTCATACACATAATAACAAATTGATAAGAAATGGAAAAGATTAACCTTATTTTTATTTTATTTTCTGATAACCCCTCAAGTTTCCTCTAAAATTAAATTTTAAGACATACGTGAATACATAAGTAGGGTTTCGGACGAAAAGGCAAAAAAAAAAAAAAAACGTTTTCTTGAATCATTGCCTCTTCTTTCCGACGCTACATTGGTCGACAAGGTATTGCAGCTAAACCCTAACAGATTTTTTTGCCTGTGTTATCTAATCTTAAATCTTCTAATAAACACAAATAATGATCCATCTCTATTCTCTATACATAAATTCAAAAACCCTAAACCCAAGAACCTCCTTTAGTTCTCTGTTTCTGCATTGTGTATTTAAAATCATAATCTCATATTAGGTTTTGGTGTGCCTTTAATTTCGCAGATATCGTTGTATCCTATCATGGCGACTCGTGAGATTTCCTTTTGCTTGTAGCTTTTATTATACTATATGCTTTCTTTCTTACTTCCTCTCGTGGATCGAAACGATTTGTTTTTGTTTTTGGCAGGTCTTCAATATGATAATAACAATTGCGAGATCGGTGTATTTTCCAAACTCACAAATGCTTATTGCCTCGTTGCCCCAAAATCTGCCTCAAACTTCTTCACGTATATATTACACATTTGTCTAATTAAGTTTTTAGGACTATATATATGATTTTATATCACTTTTAATTTCTTTGTAGTGGCTTTGAATCGAAGTTAAAAGGTGTTATCCCCATTGTTACGACCTCTATAGGAGGAACTCAGACTATTGGTAGTCTTTGTGTTGGTAACAAAAACGGACTTCTTTTGTCTCACACCATTACAGATCAAGGTGATTGATTTTTTTTTTTTTTAATAATTACTTACAAGTTATATTAGTTTTGGTGAATTATGTAATGATTTTTTTTTTTTTTTTAAATGTGAATAGAGCTTCAACATTTGAGAGATAGTTTGCCTGATGAAGTTGTAGTCCAGAGAATCGAGGAACCTCTATGTGCACTTGGAAATGCCATAGCTTGTAATGACTATGTCGCGCTTTCGCATCCAAAGCTCGAGAAAGAAACGTTAGAGATAATAAGTGATGTTCTTGGTGTTGAAGTTTTCCCGCAAACCATTGCGAATAACGAACTTGTGGGAAGTTATTGTGCCTTATCCAATAAAGGTGGAATGGTAAGTAAACACTATATAGCTTGAGATTGTTTGTTCTATTTAGATGCTAAGAATAAGTTAGGCTACAACATAAAAACATAAACACTTCACTCTTTTTTTTTTTTTTGTGGCATTGGTCTTGAGTAGAACTTAATCTGTTGACTATATTGGTGTCTCTTATTTAGGTTCACCCGGACACCAAAGTCGAGGAAATTGCCGAACTGGCGAATCTTCTTCAAGTGCCTTTGGCTGCAGGAACAGTGAACCGTGGGAGCCAAGTAATATCTGCGGGCTTGATCGTGAACGACTGGACCGCTTTCTGTGGATCAGACACAACTGCAATAGAGCTCTCTGTTGTTAACAGCATCTTCAAGCTAATGGGATCCCAGCCCGGTTTTGTCATTACTGAAATGAGAAAGTCTTTGATCGATACCTCTGTCTAAATCTTGCTTCCTGTTTTTCGGGGTTTACCAATTGTTTTATGCCAAAAATGTGTTTCAAGAATTTGCTGCTCTTTTGGACTCAATTGTTTATTAGCAATTTCTTGATGTTTTGAAATTTTGGAAATTTCTTGATATTTTTTTTTTGTTAATACTATTATTGAAAATAAAAAATCGACCATATTAGGCAGCTGAAAACTATTTTGATACCCCGGTTTTTTTCCAAACCGGATATCAAAAAGTCAATCATTTTTTGTGTAATATGTGTGAGATTTATGAGGTTCCAACTCAAAACTAATTTGGATGGAGAGGTTAGTATCTTTTATTTACTCTGATGCAAGAATTATCATTTTTTTTGGTGTAATCCTTTCCTTTGGATCTCTGTCTTTCAGTTTCAGAAGTAATTTTCTTTTTATTAGTATCCAATAATTGTTCTAATAAAACCTCCAAACAACAAATCTCCCCCTTCAAAATCCAAGGAGAGACAAAGTCAGTCTTGAGATTCTATTAAAAGTTATAAAACAAACCTTTGTGTGATCCATCCAATCCAAACCAAGATCATAGCAAGATAAAACCGAACATTACATATTGTCGTTTGATAATGTCACAAAGGAAAAGTCCCAGTGAAGCGGATATGATCGAGTGTGCGACGCAGACCGTACTTACAAACCGCTGCATTTGCTGCTCTGAAACCTCCTCCATAAGCTGGAGACGCGTCGTGAGCTATCTGATGCTTGAAGAACTCTCCAAGTTTCTTCTCCACGTTTGATTTTCCTCCTTTCTTGTTAGAAGACGATGATGACGTCGCAGATGATGATGTTGAAGGCATGTTTCTTGAAGAAGGATCTGAGAGAACTTCAGATTCAAGCCACATGTAAGAGAGGACTTGGCATATTCCTTCCTCTACCTCAGGGTTAAGGTTCCTATACCCTAATGAAAACATGAAAATTAAGGGAGATTAAGATGCTTTTCTTTTGCTAAGTACTAATTATTGAACAAGAAAAACGTTCCAAAATGCTTAAATTAGAACAGAACATTGGAGATAACTTGGGAAACAAGATGTGTATCTCCAATTAGAAAGAAAATAGGAACATAAATTATGCCGTAAGCCGAATTTTCCATTAATTTTTTCGTATAAGAAAATAAACCGACAAGTGTACAATTACTAAGTACCTTTGAGCCTTAGCCATCCGTGCATGAGCTCGTGGGCAAGAATTGCACCTGTTAGTAATCTTCATCCACCAAAGTATCATTAGGTTAATAAACTATCTCTTTTTTGGTAATGCCAAAAAGCAAATTTTGAGAATTGAGCAAGTAGTATATAGTACCTTGGGAGGCCATAAAGGACGAGAATCGCGGTGACTTCACATTTGCGAGTAAGCTTTTGAGGCTGAGTTCTCATACCAACAAGACGATGAGCACCAAGTCTAGGTCTTTTAAGAACCTGTGAAGAACCAAGAAAAAAAACAGAGCAAAATTACTGTTTAGAGTCATAAATAAGTAAGCTTCTAACAAGAATTTAAAAAGACTTACACTTGTAACTGTCTGTTCTTCAGATAAACATAAACCCCTCGTCTCTGGCATGTGATGGTATCCCTGTAAAAACACAAGAGAATTAATTTCATAATTGGAATTTTGAAAGAAACTCACAAAAAAGGTTATGAATGAGGCAAAAATATCAAAGATTACATTTTTCTCTCCTACAATAGCATCATTAAGAGCTTCTCTTTGAACAAGGAGCATAGGAATCTGTTGATCAAGTTTCATGTACATTCCTTCGTAATAGTCTCTTATCGCGTGGTAAAGCGGTTGGCAATCTCCTGTATCGGTAATCGCAGTTTCCATACATTCTAGACATAAACTTCTCCCATCTTCTAACGTGTAATATCTCACATCCCATGACTTCATGATCACAACATAGAAAAAAAAACAAAACACAATTGATTTGTGAGAAGA